GGCCCCGCCCCCAGGTAGAGATCCTGGATGGCCGCACAGAGTGCGTGCTGAGCAACCTGCGGGGCCGAACGCGTTACACCTTTATGGTACGCGCGCGTATGGCCGAGCCGAGCTTCGATGGCTTTTGGAGCGCCTGGTCGGAACCTGCGTCGCTGCTGACCGCTAGTGGTGAGGCCCTAGGCAGGGGCGTAGGAGGGGCTGGAGAGGACCCCACGGTGGGCAGGCCCACCGCCCTGACCTCTTACCGGCTCTCCAGACTTGGACCCCCTCATCCTGACGCTCTCTCTCATCCTCGTGCTCATCCTACTGCTGCTGGCCGTGCTCGCCCTGCTCTCCCACCGCCGGTGAGCATCCCATTCGGACACCCAGCCCAGACCCCTCTCCCTCCCCTTTTGCTGTGGAAACCTAGGCTCAGAGAGCGCCAGGTACCTGCCCAAGGTCACATAGTGAGGCGTCAGTAGTTTTTCTTCTACCTCAGGGGCTGCTCCATCGTGGATTCCTTTGCTCTTTCCTTTTCCCGATTTCATCAACTTTTGTAAAATCAGTGAGATGGGGTTAAGGAAAGATTTAAACTGAATGTCTCTCCATCCCTATTGTCAAGCTCCTCAGATGCTTTATATGACTAGCCATCCTGAGGTGTTTGTAATTCTAAGCATGTACCATGTGGTTTCACAGCCTCAAGCCTCAGCATATGCTGTTCCTTCTGCCTGGACCGATATTCCTGCCTTGTCTACCCAGCAATCTCCTAGTTGTCTTTCAAGGCCCTGTTCATTTATTTCTTTAGAAGATACATATTGAGTGCCAACTGTGTGCTAGGCACTGAGGAGAAAATGGAGAACAAACCAGACATGTTCCTGACCCTGTAGATCTCATAGTTGAATCAGACAGCAAGGGAACCAACAGATATTTGATTATAAATTGTGATGAGTGATATCATAGAAACAAATGGGATATGGGGACATGACAGGATGGTTAGGGAAGACCTCTGGGAGGTGACTTCAGGGTGGAAATCTGAAGGTTAGAAGGAAACAGTCATGTGAAAAGCAGGGAGAAGAAACAGCAGGTGCAAAGACCCTGAGGTGGGAATGAGCTTGGAACATTGAAGCAGCTGCAAGAGCTCTCTGGCTAGAGCAGAGTGTGTTAAGAGGGAGTGGTGGATGATGTGCTGAGTAAGGTGACAGGAGTTAGAATATTCAGAGTCTTCTGCAGTGCTGTAGGGAAGAGATTGGATTTTATTCTAATGCATCGGGGAACCATGGGAAAGAGCGAGAGAATAACATAACAGACCTCTAGGCAAGCCTGAGCCAGGTTTAAAGGGAACGAGGCAGCGTATATTGAACTCCCATACATCCTTCAAAATCCTGTTTCATTTGCCCTCCTATAGGGCCCCACAGATGCTCCAGCCAAATCCTCTGCTCCCCAGCCCCTATGCATTTCTCTGCCTTCATCAGAACCAGGGCTAGGAGTGTCTGTGCCCCTGTGATTGGATGCAGAGGAGGTATTGGTGAGTGTTCAATGACACATGCCAATGTATTCGTTTCTTTTGGTTTTATCAGGACTCTGAAGCAGAAGATCTGGCCTGGCATCCCAAGCCCTGAGAGTGAGTTTGAGGGCCTCTTCACCACCCACCAGGGTAACTTCCAGGTAGGTGGCCTGGTTGTCCCCTCAGGGCCTGTGGCTTTCCTGCTTCTGCGGCCAAACTCCAGGTCTCTGAGCCAGCTGGGTGCTGTTTCCCCAGCTGTGGCTGTACCAGAACAACAGCTGTCTGTGGAACCCCTGCACCCCATTCACAGAGGACCCACCCGCCCCCCTGGAAGTCCTCTCTGAACGCTGCTGGGGGGTGACACAAGCAATAGAGCGAGGAGCAGATGATGAGGGGCCCCTGCTGAAGCCAGTGGGCAATGAGCATGCCAAGGAGACCTACCTGGTGCTGGACAAGTGGTTACTGCCCCAGAGCCCACCCAGTGAGGACCCCCCAAGGCCTGGTGGCAATTTGGACATAGCAGCCTTGGATGAAGGCTCAGAAGCGTCCTCCTGCTCATCAGCTTTGGCCCTAAAACCAGAAGGGGCCTCGGCTGCCAGCTTTGAGTACACCGTCCTGGACCCCAGCTCCCAGCTCTTGCGCCCAAGGGCACTGCCTCCTGAGCTGCCCCCCACCCCACCCCACCTAAAGTACCTGTACCTTGTTGTGTCGGACTCTGGCATCTCAACTGACTACAGCTCAGGGGACTTCCAGGGAGCCAAGGGGGGCTCATCCAATGGCCCCTACTCCAACCCTTATGAGAACAGCCTTGTCCCAGCCCCCAAGCCTACACCCCGCCACCTACACAGCCTGCACCTAGGACTCTAGTCCTCAGATGCTTGGGGACCCAGCATGACTTCAAGTGCTAGTGCAGGCCCAAGACTCATGGGGTAGTCGGCAAGGCCTCCCTCAGGACTAGGGGCATTGCTGACCTTGGCTTCGTGCCCATTCCATCCTGCTCAGGTCACAAACTTACAGTATTTTTAAATGTATAGGTGTGTGCGTGTGTGTGTGTATAAGCCCCATCTTTCTTGGGCCCAGGCCATAAGGGCAGCAGTAAAAGGCTGCAAACTCAGTCTAAAATTCAGAACCTGGAAATCTGAATAATAATCATAATGAAATGAATTAGTCAGTATAAGTTATGCCAGCTGCCATAAAAAACAACTCCTAAATCTGAGTGATTTAACACATAGGTGGTTTCTCTCTCATATTTCAATTGAAAGCAGCCATTCCTGAGATGAGTAAGAAGCCCAGACTCTTCCAGTCTGTAGCTTCACTATCCCCGAGGCCTAGCCTGGAGTCTTTAGGTGGGTCCTCTGCATCCTGTCAGCCTACAAGTAAAGAGAGAACCGGAAGATTCTGTGGGCTGTTTAGGGATCCAGCCTAGAAGTGGGTTCCATCTCTTCACAAATTCCGTTGGCCAGAAATAGTCACATGACCCCAGCTAGAACCATGGATGGATGGGAAATGTAATTTAGCTGTGCACCCAGGAAGAAGAAAGCTGTTTAATGGGCCTCTAGCTTGTCTCTGCCACCAATAATAACAATAATTCATAGGGCTTTATTTTATATCAGGCCCCATTCTAAGAAAGTACACTGATGACACCAAATGTGATCAAGCGGTTCAATGGGAGTGCAGGTTTAACCATTTTTTAAAAGTTTGACATAACCTAGGAAAGTTGAACATATGCATACCTTCTGCTCCAGCAATTCCAATTCTAGGTTTAAATCCTAAAAACCCTCACACACATACGCCAGGACATGTGTGCAAGAATGTTCATAGCACTAAATAAGTCAATTCAAGGGCTTTGTAGGGCCACGACTCATGGGGTGGTCGGCAAGGCCTCCCTCACGACTAGGGGCATTGCTGACCTTGGCTTCGTGCGCACTCCATCCTGCTCACGTCACACACATACAGTATTTTTTTATATATATATGTGTGTGTGTGTGTGTGTGTATAAGCCCCATCTTTCTTGGGCCCAGGCCATAAGGGCAGCAGTAAAAGGCTGCAAACTCAGTCTAAAATTCAGAACCTGGAAATCTGAATAATAATCATAATGAAATGAATTAGTCAGTATAAGTTATGCCAGCTGCCATAAAAAACAACTCCTAAATCTGAGTGATTTAACACATAGGTGGTTTCTCTCTCATATTTCAATTGAAAGCAGCCATTCCTGAGATGAGTAAGAAGCCCAGACTCTTCCAGTCTGTAGCTTCACTATCCCCGAGGCCTAGCCTGGAGTCTTTAGGTGGGTCCTCTGCATCCTGTCAGCCTACAAGTAAAGAGAGAACCGGAAGATTCTGTGGGCTGTTTAGGGATCCAGCCTAGAAGTGGGTTCCATCTCTTCACAAATTCCGTTGGCCAGAAATAGTCACATGACCCCAGCTAGAACCATGGATGGATGGGAAATGTAATTTAGCTGTGCACCCAGGAAGAAGAAAGCTGTTTAATGGGCCTCTAGCTTGTCTCTGCCACCAATAATAACAATAATTCATAGGGCTTTATTTTATATCAGGCCCCATTCTAAGAAAGTACACTGATGACACCAAATGTGATCAAGCGGTTCAATGGGAGTGCAGGTTTAACCATTTTTTAAAAGTTTGACATAACCTAGGAAAGTTGAACATATGCATACCTTCTGCTCCAGCAATTCCAATTCTAGGTTTAAATCCTAAAAACCCTCACACACATACGCCAGGACATGTGTGCAAGAATGTTCATAGCACTAAATAAGTCAATTTGATGAATAAATTGGGGTATAGTTACCCATGGAATTATATGCAGTAGAGAAAGTAGACTAAAAAATGTGGCTGAATCTTAGTAATAATGTTGAGGGGGAGAAGAAAGAATTCTCAGAAGATGACATTTCTCATGAAACTCTTCATAAAGTTTAAAACAGCAAAACTAAAACAATATGTTAGGATACAATATGTACAAGATAATGCTATTTTTAAAAGAAAAAATGCACTTTACATTCTTTAGGTCTTTGAATCTGCATGTGTCCCTGTGGTAAGTATTCCTGGCATGGGAAACTGAGGCATAGATAGGCGGTCACACACCAAATCTCAAGGCTGGCCTCCAGAGCTTGAACACTTGTTTGAATTGGGATCATCAGCCTGGGTAGGCCATGGGGTGACTGTCATCTGTCCATCTGGTTGGAAAGCCATCAACCACTCTGCCCTGGGGCCCTGCCCACCTGGCTCCAGGCAGGCTCTGCGGCAGCACTGTCCTGCGCCTGGTGTATCAAACTGCAGCCAGCACTGGGCAGGGAAATATCTCTGGAGCAGTGACAGGTGCAGGGCATCCCCACTATCTCCCTCCTCCTGGGTCTGGAGGGCCACAATGAGGCCACAGCCTTGGCCAGGCCCAACCCGGTGGCCGAAGTGGGCAGCTGTGTCCAGAAGAAGGGCAGCAAGGTAGGCGGCTTCCTGGGGCCCCAGGTCCTCAGCTAGGTATTCTTCCAGGCCGTCAAGCAGCAGAAGGGAGGGGACAGGCCCCGGGGTCTCATGGGCAGAGCACAGGAACTGGAGGAGCTCATGGGTTGAGGGTGGGTACTGGAAACGGATCTTCTAGAGGGAGGGAAAAAAGGAAAAGGCCAAATTTAACACAGGAAGCGAGGCTCCCAGACATAGCAGCCCTGCTTCCTTGCATACTTTTCTTTTCACACCCCCAGACAGTTGGTTCCAGAATGAAGTAGCTCAGAGTGGTTGAATAGTCTTCTATTCGCCCCCGCCCCCTTTTTTTAGTCATCACTGCCCGCTATCAGTTGAGAACAAGGTATGTCTTTTTGCCAAATCTCTAAGGCAATCTTTCCACGCAAAACCCACCGCTAGCCTTCCCAGTTTGACCTAGTCATTGGCTTCCCTGGAGCTAACTCGCGTCCGGGAAACAAGGTTTAGTCCCGCCCCTTACCCTCGCCTGTCCCGCCCCCACCCCACGCCCCGTCGCTCAATCCTGACTCCGCCTCGTACTGGTTGTTCCGGCGCGCCCTTCCTTCATCCCCGCCATTGG